GCGCGGGGGATGAGCCCCAAACTCGACTCCCCGCAGCTGGGCCCGTGTGGGTGCTGGACCAGACTGGCCACTCGTGTGGACCCCTGAGCTCCGGAGCCGGGGCAGATGGTGCAGGGGAGGAGAGGTCCGAGCCTCCTGGTCCTACGAGATCCCCTCTCCGCCCCACTCTCTGGGGCTGTGGGGTGAGAAAGGACAGGTGGAGGCTGACCCACCAGGCCAGCGGAAACCCACCAGGAGAGGAAAAGTGAACACAGACCCAGTCCCCAGGTCATGTTCCTGGGAGCCCAGAATAGATGCACCACCCCTAAATCCCAGCTGCCCCATCTCTACTCTAGCCCCTCACCAGAATCTTGTAGATGAGCAGCTGGGGTCTGGAGAGGGAAGGGCATCAGCACAGGTATGCTCCCGTGGACATGCACACAGAGTCCAGAGCTGAGAAGCCCCAGGGGCCTGAACCAGCAGCCAGGGTGGTGAACTTGGTTCACAGGACATGAGCCTGTCTGCTGGGCTCTCGCTGTGTCCCCAGTGCCTGAAATGACTTTTGACACATATTGGTGCTCAGTAAATACTTGCTGAATGAACAAATGAGGGAGCATTTATTAGGACCTTACTTTGTGCTGGTCCCTTGAAGTAGAGAGACAAGGAGGACCAGGCCCTGGGGTTTCACAGCTCTTGTCTTGGTGTGTGTGTGCATGTCTGTGTGAGTGTGTGTGTGCACACACGTCAGTACACATGTGTTTCTGTGCATGCATCTGGATGATATGCATGTATATGTGTAAGTGTGCATATGTCTGTGTGCATGAGTGTGAGTGTATGTGCTTGCATGTGTCTCATGTATTATGTGTGCATGTGCCTATGTGCCTGTGCACGTGTGTTCATCTGCGTCAATGTGTGTGTGTCTCTGGGGGGCCACGAGCCCAGGTATGTGTGTGAGTGCACACATGTGCATGTGTCTGCATGTGTTTGTGCGTGTGCCTGTCCACATGTGTGAGCACAGATGTGCATATGTGTGTATTCAGTGTGCATACATCCAGTGTGTGCATGTCCCTGTGTGTTCATGGGTACATCTCTGCATACATGTGTTTGGGTGTGCATGTTCGTGTGTGCCTGTCTGTGCATGTGTGTGTGTTGGGTGGGTATCTGGGGGTCCTGGCACCTTGTCCTGTGCTCTCTACTCCAAACGTGCATGTCAGTACAGAAGGCACCTCCCATCCACTAGGAGATTTCCTGCCTCTTGCCAGTTGTTGACGGGAGCTGAGAGCTCCTTTCCCGGCTGAACCTCTCTTTCTTCTTGAGACATTTGTCTCAAAAAAAATTCAGAGGACACTAGCAGGAAGGACCCAGCCACTGGGACCGTGGCCAGTGTGCTGCAGGGTGCTCACCGTGGTGGCGTGTTCCCAGATGGAGCCTGGGGACACCGTTTTAATCCTCCCTCCAGGAGATTCTCCAGATGCAGCGAGTCTGAGGGAAACTGGCCTGCTCCACTATTCCCAGTCCCCCCTTCAGAAATGCCATTCTCTTCTGTTCATGCAGTGCCCGGTTGTAGGACGTATTTTGCAAGGACCAGCTTTTGGCGTCACCACACAGAGCACCAGCGTTGGCCCGCGCTGGCTCTGCACATCCCTGACTCACAGCCACCACACAGAGGCACAGACTTGCTTTACCTGATTTCCCATAAGAGGAAACTGAGGCAGCAAGGGAATAAATCCTTCCTCAAGGTCATGTCTATGGCAAAGCCTGGATCTGGGATTTAAGCCCAGACAATTTGGCTCCAGAATTGAATTTATTAGCCACTGCTGCTTGAGACAAAAATCAAGTACTTTTCATTATATGTTTATTGAAAGTGAAGCTGAAGCGTTTTGCGGGGTAAAGCATTACTCTGCTCGTGTGGACACATCGTCCTGCCTTCTAAGACCTAGCAGGAGATGGTGCGTCCTATGCGGGCACCCCCATTTGGCTAACATTCACTGGACACAAGTGCCTGGGAGGGGGCTGGCTTGATGCTCTGCAGGAGGGGCCTCTGCCACGCGTCAAACCAGAGCAGAGCCCCTGGACCCAGTACAGTGACAGGGACGAGGTGGCTCAGCAGAGATCCACCAGCCCTGCTTGGTTATGGTGCCCACAGGGCCTTCCTCCTGCACTGCCCTCCATGGTGAGCCCTGGCAGTCCTGGACTTCTTGGGATGGCCAGTCCCTTTAGAGCCCTGAGACCTTGTGTTCAGAGTGTCAAGAGCCCAATAGGGATACCACCTGGGGAGGCCCAATGCCCCCAGGGAGCCCCAGGGCCAGTCCCCAACACCCAGGTGCAGCACTTTGCCAGGCGTGGCCACCGCAGGGAACACCCAGCCTGCCAGGGAGTGGGGCCCGGGCTGAGCCTCAGCTGTCTCACAGGCTCTGCTCAGAGGGCTGTCTGAGCCATCCTGCCTCTTTCCCTGGACCTCGGACAGAACTGGGGTCGCTGCGCTGGTTCTCATCTCTATGAGACTCTATGCCACTATGAGAGGCCACAGTCTACCTGGGCTTCGGGCGACTCAGGTGACACCCCAGCCTGTGGGTCAGGGTGGGCTCTGCTGGGTAACAGGTGACCCCTGGGGCTGACCTGGCAATGGGCTGGCTGCCTCTCCTGCCCCGGGTCACCATGCACAGGAAGGCTGCCCACTGGAGCCACTCGGGGAGCAGCCAGCGACCAAGGGAGAGCTGGAGGTCCCCAGCTGTCCACAGCCACCACCATCAGCCACGGTGATGCCTGCTGGCCCCTCTCCTGATGCCCTGGTCACAGCAACTGGGTGGACCATTGGCACATAGTGCAGAGGAGCAAGGCCTGCCTGCTTGGCAAGGGACCCTGGGGACGGTCTGGTGACGGGCACCCTCAACCCCACAGCCCCTTGCAGCCAATCAGCACTGTGTCCCCAGGACTGACCGTGTGATGCGTGATGGGGCTGGCGCTCAGCACAGCCGTTTTATAGAGGGGACCCTGAAGCAATGACCACTGGGGTGCCCTTGGTGTCCCTGAGGAGACAGGACTCAGGATCCTTGTCCCTGTGAGCTGAGACCCTGTGGGAATTGAGACTCCACTGATGCTGGTGAAATGATTCCCCAAACCCCAGCAGAGCGAGTCCAGCAGCCACCTTCACGGGATGTTGCTGACCTCCAGGTGCTGAGCCCCAGGTTCTATGCCCTGTCCCCACCCTGAGCTCCGACTCCTTGCAGCAGTCAGGTCTGACTGCTGGGCCCAGAGAGTCGGCAGAGAAGTCTGCAGCTGCTTCCTCCTTGGGGGGGGGGCACTGCTGGCCGCCCCAGTGACAGCTGGTGGCCCACAGCCCATTAACCTGCAGATGGCCGCCATCCTCAGGCAGGTGACGGGGCACAGCAGGCTGAGGAGTGGAGAGGAGGGAGCTGCACACCCTGTAGGCCACCCCACCTCCTGCCTTCTCAGGAAGAAATGGGGCCCAGCAAGTCAGCAGAAGGAAGAGCTGTGCCCAGGGGAGAGGCAAAAACAGAGACAGAGATACTGATAGAGATACAGAGACAGAGAGAGACCAAGATGGAGATTCAGAGACAGAGAGAGACAGAGATATAGAAAGAGAGACAGAGAGAGAAATACAGAGACAGAGAGAGAGAGACAGAGAGACAGAGACTAAGACAGATACAGAGACAGAGACCGAGATAGTGATACAGAGACAGAGAGACAGAGTCAGAGAGAGATAGAGATACAGAGACAGAGACAAAGATACAGAGAGATAGTGATAGAGATATAGAGACAGAGAGAGACAGAGACTGAGATAGTGATAGAGATAAAGAAAGAGACAGAGAGAGACAGAGATATAGCTAGATATAGACAAATACACAGAGACAGAGACAGAGATAGAAATACAGAGACGCAGAGACGATAGACCAAGACAGAGGTATAGAGACCGAGACTGAGATAGTGATACAGAGACAGAGAGAGACCAAGAAGGAGATACAGAGACAGAGATTGAGACAGAGACAGTGATAGAGATACAGAGAAAGAGACTGAGATAGTGATACAGAGAGAGACTGAGATACAGAGACAGAGACCGAGACTGAGATAGAGATAAGGAAAGAGAGACAGAGATAGAGACAGAAATACAGATAGATACAGACAAATACAGAGAGACAAAGATAGTGATACAGAGACAGAGAGAGACTGAGATAGAGATACAGAGAGACAAAGACAAAAAGACAGCTAGATAGAGACAGATACAGAGAGATAGAGACAGAAAGACACAGAACAGAGAGATGGAACTAGATACCGATATGGAGAGAGAGCTACAGAGCGACAGAGGCAGAGACAGAGAGACAGAGACCAAGATAGAGATACAGAGACAGAGCTAGATACAGAGACAGAGAGAAACTGAAATAGAGATACAGAGAAACAAAGACAGAGAAACAGCTAGATATAGACAGAGACAGAGAGATAGAGGCAGAGAGAGACAGAGACAGTGACAGAAATAGAAACAGAGACAGAGATACAGAGAGATGGCCACTGAG